AGTGCACTATTACCTATCTCGAAGCGCTGCTCTTTTCCGAGGTTGTTGTACATTACTTTCGTTTTCTGCAGATTAATTTTAAGACCCACCTTTCTGCTCTCCTTGTCAAACTCCGTGATCATGAGTTGCGATTCGTCGCCTGAGTTACTCAGCAATGCAATGTCATCGGCGAAGCGCAGGTTACTAAGGTACTCTCCATTAGCTCTTATCCCTAACTGTTCCCATTCTAGGCTTCTGAAAACCTCCTGTAAGCACGCGGTAAATAGCATTGGGGAGATTGTGTCCCCCTGCCTTACACCCTTCTTGATTGGTATTCTGTTGCTTTCTTTTTGAAGCACTATGGTATCAGTCGATCCCCTGTAGATTTCTTCCAGGATGTTTATATATACTTCATCGACGCCCTGATTCCACAGTGTCTGCATGACGGCTGATATTTCTACTGAATCAAATGCCTTCTTGTAATCTATGAAGGCTATGTATAGTGGTTGGTTATATTCTGAGCATTTCTCTATTACCTTATTGATAGTATGAATGTGGTCGATTGTTGAGTAGCCTGTTCGAAATCCTGCTTGTTCCTTTGGTTGATTGAATTGTAATGTTTTTTTTACTCTGTTAGCAAATACCTTTGTAAATATCTTGTATACTACAGAGAGCAAGCTAATCGGCCTGTAATTCTTCAAGTCCTTGTCATCTCCTTTCTTACGTATTAAGATTATGTTAGCGTTCTTCCAAGACTCTGGTAATCTTCCCGTCAGGAGACACCTCGTAAACAGGGTGGCTAGTTTTTCTAACATAATCTGTCCTCCATCTTTCAGCAGATCTGATGTTACCTGATCCTCACCAGCAGCTTTGCCTCCTTGCATGCTCTCCAAAGCTTTTCTGACTTCTTCTATCATTACTGGTGGGTGTCATCTGGGTTACTGCTAGTTCTTATAGTATTGAAGTCGTGGTTGTCCCGGCTACTCTAAAGATCTCTGTAGAACTCCTCCGCTATTTTAACTATCCTATCCATATTGGTAGTTATTTTGCCTTCTTTGTCCCTTAGTGCATACGTCCGATTTTCGCCTATCCCAAGTTTCCGTAGTTGACGGAGCAACGTTACGTTAAATAACAGAGTAGAGAGGCCTCGACGCAGCGGTGCACCGTGGGAATCGCCCCTCTCCTCACTAACAGCGGATCCGAGGTGAACACGAATACGGCAGTTACTGAGAAAGGTGTGTATGAAACGCTTTTCCCTAATTCCCGTGGATGGCAGTTGCGTGATAACAGGCCTCCGTATAGCGTAGTGATGAGCCTATAGAAGATGTCCATGAATACAGCAAGGGTAGAGATGTTGTCTACTCGATGATGTTCGATATCGCTTATGAGGTCTAACACATTATCCCGAGTGCACAATGACTGCTTAACACCATTAATGTATGTAGGAACCTTCCTTTTCTTTTCGACAAACCTATTCAGATGGCTATGACTAAATTTCGCCATGACGTTCGTTGCGCATGGTGTTAAGAAAACCAGATGGCATGAGGCGAAAGAAATGTATCTTGTTTCCAGTGCATTAAAATGGGCACTGGCCAGGCAACTTTCAAAGCCTTTGAAATGTTTTCTGTGTTCCACACTGCACTGAATGCGTCCAGGAGTCCTTGTTTTCCGAGGCTTTGGAAGATTCGCGAGCTTCTGATTACGGATGGGATCAGGACCTAGTACACAATGTCGCCGCAACCGCTAAGCGCCGACTCCAATTTCTGAATGGAGTCGCTGCTCTCTGTTTTCTAATGCAGTCACCTTTCTCCAGTTCTCTGATGGTGCATTCACCACAGAACTAGAGAGAGTGGCTGCAGATACCATGGTTTCTGACGTGCTTCGGGATGCAAAGGCATCCGCAAATTCTCCCCCTAACAGTGCGAGAGTTTTCCCAGGGTTTCAATTCATTCATTTCATTTGTTGATACAGTCAGCCCTTTTTGAAGGGCTATCACAGGAGTCGAAAGTAATTATATTGGAACGAAAACGTGAATAAAAGAAGCACGAAAAAAAAATATTTGTTTCTGGAACACATATCGCTTCACAGCACCTACCGAAATTCAGATAAGAAAAGCATTAAAATCGCAAGCTCATCAGTGAAAGAAAAAAAAGCAAGCATTACTGCTGAAACACATATAAACAACTTATGAAAGCACATAATAAAAATCATGGTTTACAATACAATGTTCAGGGCAAGAGCTTCAGAAGGTCTTCATGGGAGGAAGTCTTTTCAGAAAGCGTCTTGAGAATTCTCCGCACTATAGCGATTGCGATAAAAGCTGACAAGCTCTCGCCGAATGCAGCTTATTGCTGTCGTCTTAATCTTAGTGACCCTACAAATCACGGTGCTGATTCTATTCGGTGCTGTTTTCAACTCTCGTTAACTCTTTTTCCTCAGTAACATACGCACCGCTCTCTTACAAGGTGGTGCGGAGATGGCGTAGCTTCAAGTTAGCGGCACGGAAATGCTCCGTCAGTGACATTGATTTCGTAGCCGCTTTCTTGCTGCGCAGCATGTCAGCAAATAGGCCTTTGGTAGCTTCCTTAAGAAGTTCTCGATAGGTGTTCAAACGTGTGACCGAGGAGCACTAGTGTTCACTTTTTTTTTATATCCAGCAACATTCGTAAATATACCGAAAATGATCGCTCCCGTTTCAGTTTAAAACAGTGGTCGACGAAACCGTGACATTCACAGATTGTAATACGAGATCAACAACACTGCTGGAATTGGGGGCCTCAACAGTGTTAATTTTTTTTTTTTTTGTCAATTGCCATGCCCAGATTCTCCGATTCATGACTTGAACAAATTCTCGTCCTGGTGAGTCTCTTATCATGTCGCCCCTCAACGAATGATGAGTGAAAGTTGATTAGCATTCCCTCTTTTCCTCTTGGAAGGACTAAGGCCCGTATTCACCGACAAACTTCGGCCTTACCTCACGTTTTCTTCAACTTCCTGTACTCTCTACATGCCTTATAAAGGCGCGAAATCGGTAACCGCGTGGAAGATAAGGACAAGACTGGTTCATGAATACTGGTCTAAGTTGTTTATCGAGCTCAATAAATGTAGAAAATCGATAAGAAAATCTCGAAGGTTCGTCCTCGGGAAAAGGTTCTCGTGAAATCCCTCATCAAGGATATCTGCGGAAGTTGCCCTCCGCCACGCATGTATTTTGTGAAGACGGAAATAGATTTCGCCTTCAAGACGTTTTCGACAAATGCATGAAGGATCGTGTGACATTTTTTTACCATCATCACCATCGGTTGACTTAGGCCAACTGCTTCATAGCGTTGTCTCGGGTGTATCTTTCATAACGTTCTTCACCCCAACTTTTGCCTATAAGTACGCATATCTGATTCTATTGTTTACCACCACCTTCGTCTTCTTTTTTCCTGGTCAGGAGGATTTCCCTTTCTTCCACTTCATAAGAAACCGTACGAGTGACTCTCTAGACCTTATCTTGTCATTTGTTAGTCGAACACCACAACGTCGACTTCTATCCGTATCGTGCCACTCGGCGCGGCAGACACCGCAGGCCACCCGAGTTCAATAACTCCCAAGTTCAATGTCTCGTCAACAGGCGCTAGCACGACTGGACGACTGGCGACGATAGATAAGATATGGACGCCGTGCAAGAGATGACATGCCCTTGTTGCGACTGCAGCTGGGAAGTCGATAGGTCTGAGGTCTTTGTAGACATGGAAAGCTGCCCTTGCGTTCCACCCGTCTTGGTTACGTAAACAGCAGTGATGCCTGAGCCTCTTACAACTCAGTCCTTGAAGCGTGAGAAGATACAGGATGGCAGGAGAGAGGAGATTAGAAGGCTGTTGTGACGGTTTCCTTTTTATAGAACACGTAAGAGGAGCTTTGTCACACTCCTGGTTTATTGGCATTCCCGTTTGCCTTTGAACTTTCGTTCAGTACTTGGGAACTCAGCGTTGGGAGCTGTTTTTGTACAGTGGCAATGTTACTGCTAATGCAACAAGGCCGCGTCGCCTGTGTGAGTTCACGCTCGAGTGTCGATTGACAATGACCTTTCGTCATAAAAGAATAAACGAAAAGAACAGAACGCTGTCCTCCATTGACTGACCAGGAATGTTATCCCGAACACCATCCAATTACATATTTGGTCGGCCCTGATTGACCGGAAAATGTCGACATTGCAAAATCTGATGAAATGGCGGAATTCGAAAGCGTTCGGCATATCACACCAAATTGTAACAGCATGCTTCGGTAAGTGCCACTCAAAAGCCACCAGCCAGTCTCCACAGGTGGATGACCCTATAAGGGCTCTTGGCTCCTCGAGGCGCCTCATCTGCATTCTTGAACTTCACTATCCAATGTAATGTACGTTAGCCGATGTCAAGCTCTGTTTGGTGAATGAGACTGGCGACAGTTGGACTGCGTGTTTCATCGTACAAGCAATCCCGCCAATGCGCTGTGCACAGGTGTTCTTCGGCACTGTGGCTTGCAGTGCTGCTACGTTTGGCATCGTTCATCGTTACGGCACTCTGAGCTTGATGCTCGCGTTTTCTTCAATTGTAAAAAAAAAATGCCGGAAAAGTATAGGGGTTCTTCACTTTCCTTTTTCTTCACAGGTTTATAGTGCTCAAGTATAGTAGACATGTGTTATTCACTTACCGTCTGAACGCGAGATGCGTCCAAGTAGAAGAGAACTCCACCACATACATGTGTTTCATTGCTCGGTCTGGAAATTTTTGCCTGAGCGTCCGAACTTCAGTGTCTTCACTCGGCCACAGTAATGTAACACTCCCAGTGGGATAATATCGTCTGTCGGAAAACTGCCTAACACCGCCGAGGGTGGAGTGGCTGAATTTTTCAGTGCAGCTTCGTGGAGCAAGGCATGCACACAAAAAAGAAAAAAAAAGGTGTTGCCGTCGAGTCGTGTCACCACATGCCCCGTAGTGACTCTGCACTCCTTATGCGAGCGCCGAATTCCTAATATCGAACAAATACAGTACTTTCGAAATCACAATATCTTTTATTTCACTAAATCATCGTTTCCCGAAAGCACAGTGAAGTGTACACAGCCACGGAGTCGTTTGTAAGTAAAGTCGTCGCCAGTAATACTTGATTGAAGAACACGTCAAGGGCTGGGAGGTTAAAGATCACAAGGGGCCGCGCCCCTATTTTTCTCGAGAGCTTGGAAGTTTACTTGTAAAAAGAAAAAAAAATCGCTAGAGAAACGTGAGACTAAACGATTGAGCCAGCAATCGGCTTCCGAGGTGGGGACTACGCAGCACCGCTGGAAATGGGAGGAGTCGCGGATCTCAGGGTTTGTAGCAGCTCTCCGGGAAATAGACGGTGGTCTTGAGGTACTGCCTCTTGCGGCGGAACTCGGTGAGCGGTCGCACCGAGGCCTGCTGCAGCAGGTGCTTGGTGGTGGCGTCGCGCGCCGGCAGGCAGTGGAAGCCCATCTCGGTGCTCATGAGGCGAGTCTCGACGCACGTGTCCGAGCACTTGGGCAGAGGGGTGAGCGAGAAGCACACCTCGCGCTCCTTGCCCTCGCCGCGCTCTCTGGTCACGGTGCGCATCACGGTGCACTGCTCACCGACTGCATTGTAAAGGAAACCGATGAGCACACGTCGCTCTAGGAAACGAACCTTAAACAACACAATCATCATATGCATTTACCGTTTTACGGAATTTTTTTAGCATTAGGAGAAAGAGTGTCCCGTTTTCCAGAACGTACAATTTGTCAGCTCTACCCGGTAAAGAAGTGGTTGCTGTGAATATCACAGCCATTTCGTAATATATACAGAGGTTTCGTAGGTTTCATTTGTGCTTCAAAACGAAAAATTGTTAGGGCTATCAAGACATTGTGTACCGATTCCATTCGCCTAACAATTTGCTATTGTACTTCATCAGCTGCAAACGTGTCAGAGTTGGTGGTATAAAGGCCTTCTCTAGAACGAAGCGTGGAACCGACAGTGACAATCTAGAAAATTAGGGAAGCACAGAGTGAGCAAAAAAATTTGTGCCAAACTAGCCAAATTTTAGATACATTTTGGTGGTCGTGGGAAGTGCCGTCTGGGGAGGCATTGTACACTGATGATGAACGGCAATTCAAATAAAGAAGGCTCCTTCAAGTGTTTTCTGTTGCTACAACAGCGCTGGGTAATCGGGACGGCATTATGCTCTCCCATAGTAGAGTACGATGTACTCTAAATCCTTAAACACTTTTTCTAAACACACATTAAACTCAGTTGCAAGTCAGCGCTCGTCCTGTGTTCTGTGGGTCTCCATTTGTCTTCGTCTAAATTGCGCCGAAGCCTATCCAATAATAAAGAAAGGAGTTGCGCCTCGGCCGCCTCAAAGGAAAGTTGGAGGAAAGGTCTCAAAGCATAGCGAATGACGGACGTCAACAGGTGCCAAGGTGCTCTATAGAGCGCTTCTGTTCTTTTGAACGCTGAAACTTGTTTTTAAGCCTCAAATGGCTGTACAGTAAATCGGGCAATAAAAGTGAAATAACTGAAAAATTACGAAGAGAAAATCGTCTTTTTGTGTAACGCAAATCTCGGAATTGTGTTTATGCCCGAAATTCCTGTAAAAGTAAAACACAAAAGATTTGTTAAAACACAGAAAACTTCGAGACAGGAAGAACAGCTTTACAGAAATATTGTGGCAAGAGAGCTGCTAGAGAATTTTTCAAAAAAGTGTTTTTTTACTGTGAGACAGAATAACCATTGAATGGAGACTGAACTATATCAATGGTGGAGTTGAAACAGGGGCGGGGTTCTCCCTAAAAATTTTTTGGGGGATGGAAGTTTTGGGAGTGGGAGTGGAGGGCGAGGTTGGGGCGAGCGAACTTCGCGAGTTCTCAAACTCGCGAAGTGCGGACACCCTCTACAAGGTCAACAAAGTCGCGGGATATGCTCTCTACAGCTTACCATTGTAGGCGCACGGGTTTCGGTAGTGGGGCGCGTTGCAGTTGTCCGATGGGATGACGTAGCTGTTCCCGAACGTGGTCGAGTTGGGGTGCAGGCACTTGTCAGGCCCAGTGAACTCGTGGAACTTGTTGAAGTTGTAGTCGCCGCAAAGACCGCACACCTTGCCTCGGTAGAAAGGAGCAAGCTGAAAAAGAAAAGTGGTGGGGTGACCTTTCAATCTAACTCATGAGAGATTACCTTCGAACCTCGAGATATATCATTTTTCAATGGTGGTTACGTTCAATTGAAATAAACAGAATGTCCGGAGCATACATCTTTCGCAGTGCTATGGTATGAACCGTATATATATATATATTTTTACAATACTTACTAGAAAACAAGTTTCAACTATGGTGCCCCGCCGTGGTGGTCTAGTGGCTAAGGTACTCGGCTGCTGACCCGCAGGTCGCGGGATCGAATCCCGGCTGCGGCGGCTGCATTTCCGATGGAGGCGGAAATGTTGTAGGCCCGTGTGCTCATATTTGGGTGCACGTTAAAGAACCCCAGGTGGTCAAAATTTCCGGAGCCCTCCACTACGGCGTCTCTCATAATCATACGGTGGTTTTGGGACGTTAAACTCCACAAATCAATCAATCAATCAATCAATCAATCAGTTTCAACTATGGTGCTATGATATTTCAGCTATCACGTGAATGGTGGCACCTTGTAGTACACTAATGATGGTAGTACATGCATCCGCCTACGCTGGGTGTGGGCGATACCTGCTTGGGAACTAGCTGTGAGTAACTTCAGAAACATGTTATTTTTTTTTCATTTCTACACTCAACCAATAAGGTTTGTTTTCGAAATTCTCGCAAGCACGCATTGATGTCGAAAGCCTTCGATATTATGCATTTTGTACACGATCGAAGTAGGCACTTTCCAACCATAACTGGGTCTTATTTCATTAAAGTCCATGAATAATCATTGACGGGAGGAGTGACGCCTCGTGGCTGTTCAACGCAGAGAGTCAAGCGTGGTGTATTTTAGAAGAAATATTTCGAATGCAAAAAAAGAGAAATTATAGTGAAACGTCTCTTGTCTGCATAAACGCAATGCTTACAGCTCAGTCGATTGCGCATAGTCTTGCGAATGAAGTTTTTTAAAGAAACAGTGACTCCGAGTAGTGTGGACTTGTTGCACGTACCTGGACGAAGATACCCTTGCCGTCGTGGGTAACCCGGACCCCGAAGCTCTCCGAGAAGACCTTGTAGACGGGCTGGTGTCCGTAAGTCTCGATGCGGAACAGCTCCACGTCGCGCACTCCGGTGTTGACGTACTGACGGAAGGGCTCCTCCGGCGTCACGGGCACCTTCTTCCCGTTCACTCGTGCGATGGGCACGCTGTCGTCGGACACCGGCAGCACTTCGATCTTGAACGTGTGCAGGAACATGCGCATGGCCTGCAAGGGAGTCACGAGTATGTTTAATTTCACGTATAACCATTGGCGAGTCTGCTGAGATACGCTAACGGACTTGTGAGAAGTGGTTTCTTCCTCTACATTTGCAGGAAAAATGAACAGTATCTGTGCCTTTTTTTTTCCGCTGAGTCCTGACCGGACATGTATGTGACTCCATTTAGGGAGACGCAATAACTCCCTCCTGGTCACACGACGACCTTAAGAGAGTATAATGATCTCTAAATATAGTGCGCGTGTGACTTTAGAGCGAGTCATTAAAGTGCCAAGCTAAGACTCTCAAGAAAGTGTTCGAGGACTCTTGTTTTCTGATACTGTACGTGCGCGCTCTTGTATTGATAATGAGCCTCTTTAGCCATTGACGACACGAATTATGGTTGACCGTGTAAGAATGCATGTAATACACATAGTTTGATGTCATGGTTCTGGAGACTATATATAAAACAAGGGAAAGCGCTGGAATAAGTTGTTTTCATCTTGCAGGAATTAGTAAAAATGAAAACGTATATAATTCTTTAGTTATTGTACAGTCACTGTACTGTGGCATTTGCTATTAGATAACTACTTGAACGAATGGCATAATCAAGAGCGCACACGCGCACGCTACTGCTATGCTGGGCACTTAACGTTAGTTATCCTTAGATTTGATTTTTTTTATTTCGAGAGAAGGAAGAACACTTGTGCTCTGTCTCCTTCGAGTGTCCTTTGAACATTTGCTGCTTTTTGCACTATCCGCAAGTTGACAGTAAAAACATATTAGGTTGGTTGTAGTTTCTTCCTTCTGTCTTGATTCAATATGGCAACGAAAGCTCCTTTTTAAAGGCGTCTGCCAATCAAAGTCTGCCAATCGAAGTCTGCCAAGGCGACTGTTGTGGTGAAGCAAGGAGAATAAACGAAGTCGTCGCTCACCTTCGGGTAGTTAACGTTCCTGGTCTTGGCCCCTAGAACGAGGAAGTGTTGATGTTCTGAGCAGTCCTTGGCCAACACCTTGTAGCAGTCGGTGTCGGGCAGTTCATAGATGACTTCGTCGAACGTCTTGATCATCGTTCCTTGCACGTCGCAGAATCCTAGGGAGTACAAAAAATATCAGAATTATAATCAGATGCTGTAATATAGCTCGTATCCACACTGGGGTATTTTTTTAAAAATTAGTCATCTGAATATTTATGTAGAGTAGAGATGAGTAGATCAAGGTATCTGGGGCATGCACCCACACCAGGTGACTGTCCCTGATCCGTATTATTTTGGTGATGATGATGATACTAATAATAATTATTGTGAACCTGAGGTGATTGGCACCTACTGACTCAAGGACATCCGTCAAGAGACGGGTGTATAATACAGATGGGATTTGGTATTATTATTTTTTGTATGTGCTAAGTTACAGATGCAAATATATAGAAACGTTAATCATGATGATCCATATAACAGAACGACCTACGTAACTGGTAGATCACATTGCCGCAATATTATTTTGATAGTTCGTTTTCTGTGTGAGGAAAAACATGCGCAGCTCTGCAATATGTGTTCAATAATTATGGCCTCATTGCAAAAATAGCAAGAAGGAGAGATCTCCAGTCCTGCTCTGTGCATGTACGAATTAATATTTGGTATTCTGCATTGCATTTTGGTCATTACCACGTCCGTTCATCTTGTTTCACACTCTTTGCGGCTCGAAGGGAACTAAAGGTGCTGAAAATCTGGTGAAGAAGCGTGACTTGGAACAAGAAAGCATAAGTAACTTTGTCTTCTTCAGAATATTTGTGCTTGATGTCCATGTTTCTCGCTTTCTTGTCGACCAAATGTCTAGCAAGCTTTTACTCGTTACAATACATTTTCGCCACTCCTCTAGTGTAAAAAATATGTATCTTCTATATCGTGGATGCTATTATTTGTAATTTTCTTTTTGTCTACGTTATGATTCATTCTGTAATGAAATGAGCTTTGAGAAAATGCAATAATGCTAGCGATGCATCTCTTGCCATTGCCTCCTACGTTGCGAATGTCATTTGTTTAGGACGTGCTAGAACTTAGCGCTTCGCACGCGCTGGGTCATTGACCTTAATTCATATGTAAAAGGTTTTGCAGAGACCTCAAGTGTTTCGTTGAGACTTATTGAAGCGCTGTTTCGAGGAGATCCGGGATCCAACATTAGCTGACAATTATTTTCTGAACTTGCCGCGTAGCCTGTATGGACGTCATTTCCGTGACGGTAATGACGTGTGTCAATCTTAAGTGGATTTTGGCGTAAGTAATCTTTATGTAGAAGTAAAAAAAATTCGCGTTTGTACCAGAATTAGACAATACTTGTGTTATCCGAGTAAATTCAGCATATAGCTACTGAAGGCCTTTGCTCGACATGTTCCGAGCGGACCATTGTTATCGATTATGTCGTAAAATTGCCGTCTTGTCCTGTCGACGCAAAAAATATAAGCGGAAACATCGCTAGACGCTGTGTCCACTCTTCGCAGAAGGAGAGGCTGACTTCAACGAAATAACGGCCACTCACTGTGCCTGAAGAGCGACGAGTACTGCTCGAGGTTGGAGTACTCGAAGAGCGAGTAGAAGCGCGGCGTGATGAACCACCAAGGCAGCGGTGCCTGCTTGTACTTGATGATCTCGTTGGGCAGGGTCACGTGCAGGTCCCAGACGTCGCTGAAGGCGCTCACGTTGCCGATCACCTTCATCTTGCCCTCGGGGTTGGTCACATCGAAGTCCTCCAGCTGGTACAGCCACGGGAAGTAGCTGTAGCGGACGTGCCTCCTCAGCTCGTGCATGTACTTGATGAACTTCTTTGAGAGCTGCGCATGTCAGAGACAGTGTTATGAAGGCCAAGAGACGGAATGGGAAAGCAGAAGCAGTAGCATATCTATGAAATGTTCCGAATACTTTTGGGAAACGGGCAACTCACTGACCGTGGTATATACGACGCGTGAACTATACTAATCCATTGTTGACCATCGGAAAAATCTCATGCAAAAGTCTGTTGGATAGTTTTAAGCGCATGATGTCAAAACTACGTTCTATGTGATTGGGTTGAGCAGATCACCCGCTCACTGCGTACTTTGTGGATTCAGTGACCGAAAATTCAAGATTGAATTCAAGTTCACATCTGGGGTGTCGATTGCGTTTTCTTGCTCATTTCGCCCAGGTATCCATGAGAACTTAAATAAATGTGATAACCAAGTAAATAACCAGCAATGGGAAAACATTACACTGCAACGGGAAAGGTCCGAAAGAAAATTCTGAGTAAGAGGTCGCAGAAATGTCAATTAAAGCGTCTAACTAAATATGGCGTCACACTTATGCTTAGTATATGCTTATCAAAGGAGCATTGTTCTAAACGTTCATTTAGAAAGGCACTGTGTTATGTAGCTGATGTCGATGGTCATTGCTCGGCAGCGAACGCCGCGATGCCAACCGAGATGCTTTGGCTACACATCAGACCATGGCATTAGACCAGCTAATCCGGTGTTTCCGACAACGACGCGCCTACTATAACCAGCTTGTTGTTCTTGACCGTAAAATATAATTTTTACTCCATGCCGTGGTGGTCTAGGGGCTAAGGCAACTCGGTTGCTGACCCGCAGGTCGGTTGATAGAACTCCGGCTGCGGCGGCTGCATTTTTGATGGAAGCGAAAATGCTGTAGGCCCGTGTGCTCATATTGGGGTGCACTTCAAAGAACCCCACGTGGTCGAAATTACTGGAGCCCTCTACTACGGCGTCCCTCATAATCATACGGTGGTTTTGTGACGTCGAACCCCACGTATTATAATATTTTTGATGAATAAGCTCGTTATAAATACAATCAAGGCGTTGACACTAGCGTAGCGTGCCAGGGAGATAAGCCGAATCAATCGTTGCTTCACTTTTCTGTTGATTTTTTTGTTGATCACTGTTGATTTTTTTTGCTTCACTTTTCATTCACTCCTAAGGTGCTGTCACAAGCATTGGAATTTTGGGCCAGATAATACAACAGCCAAATAACAGCTTCGGGTGGGTAGGTGACGCAAAAAGATACAGGATTCGTCGCCAAATGCATTTTCTCAAGCAGGAAGCCAGAAAGTACATACGAAGAGCAGGGTCCTTGCAGTGTGTCTTAGACTCTCGGAATACGGGGACATTTGGCCTCAACTGGGGCTACTCACGCAAAGATTAGGACCAAGCGGGCACTCACGTGTTCGTACTCGATGTCGGCAGTGAACTTCTTGAGCGTGGTCACGTCGAACAGCAACTCGTCGCAGGCCTTGCTCCAGTGAACGCCGTTGGCCTTGTCGTGCGAGCATTCCTTCCAGAGGTACCTGTACGGGTTCTTCAGGAACTTGCCGACCGGCTCTTCGTGGTCCCGGGTCTCGAGCAGGTGTTTCTGTTCCTCCGTGTGCTCCCATATGGCTCGCATCGTGATCTGTGAACGCGGATGCAAGGTATCCACAATGCTATACATTGACACTGAGTAGATTGGAATTCACAACGTATTTAGGCACTGTGCCGCGTAGTGCGCAAGTTCAGCTGTTCTGGTTATTTGCGATGCACTCTCAAGATGACGTAGCGCTCAGTTCACATCGGTAATGCTCAATAGGTCCGACCTCTTTTTCTTTTATTTTTTTTAGTGGATGGTTGAAATGAAAATACTGAATTTCGACCCATGCACAAAGCTTTGAAACCTCACTGGATACCGAGGAGTGGAAACTGAAGCAAAAAGTACTTATGAATAGGACTTTCTGTGTCCTGTGTCAGAGCCCCACTATCCTGTATTTAAGATTATAACTGGCCCAGCAACGAAATTCGGTGAAGTTTTGCAAGCACGGCCACTGGTAACCGTGATAATCAGGGCTGAGAGGAACGGTGAAGTATCGCGTAATACGTTCTCGCCAGAGAAACAATGAACTATGGGCGACGCTGTCCCGGCGGAACACGTGTTTCTAATTTGTGCTTTGTCGTTCGCAGTAAATTGAAGCGACTTCCCGAAGACGGCTTTAGGCGTTTTGTGTGACCGGTTTCGTTAAAGCGCGCATAAGAAACGGGTGTAGGCTTGGCTTGATGGTCTGCAATACTGTTCCTTGTCAAAGGACAGGATCCTTGCACGCTGTTCCATGGACTGCCTTTAGCATGGGAGGCCTTCGCTTCTTCGGGACATCTTTGTCATGAGGTGGACAATGAATGTCTGTTTATCTAGCTACAACGTAGCATCTCTTTCATTTGTATTTGGAATATTTTATTTTCAACTGTTTTTCATTTTCTATGTATATTTATAAAGTTTTAGTTTATTTTACTCACTTTTTTGCAAGAAAGGGTAGCGAACCGTTCAATACCACTCTAACGGAAGAAAACCTCTGTGTTACTTTTTATTTTGGTTATTCTTGACTTTCCACGTAATTGACTCTCGTTAAAGAGGTATACGTTAACTTCCTTCTGCGTTCCACGATGCTACAAGATTATATTGACTTGCGAATAAATTTCACGTCTGTCTTTAAATAGTCGTACACGTGCTGAGTCAGAACTCACAATAAAGAATCAAATGACTTTTTTTTTTTCAGTGTGTACAACGGAAAACTTCCGTAACTTTCGGTCTTAGTTTTTTCATGTTCTTTCTTTCGTTCCAATTTCTGTAGCTGTGCCTATTTTTGTTTCTCAGTCAAGTGGGCACATTTCGCGTACTTACCTTCTGGTCAGATTTGCAGTCTTTTCCAAAGTTCAGGTTGAAGTTTGTGCTCACTGCGTTGCTGTCGGAAATGAGATCCAGAATGCCTATCTTGACGTAATCGGGTTGCGGGAACTTCATGCTGCCATGGAAACAGACCTAAAAAAAAGACCAACAGAGAAGCAAACCGTTAGAGAAAACACTGGATGTACGTGCTTTACGTGTCACGTGTAAGACCATTTTCCGTCACCGATTTCAGTGAAAGTTGTTCATTCAGTGCATATAGTTTTCCTATTCGGCACCATTTTGTTGAAGAGGTTTCGGTGATATTCGCCCACGCGTTTTTTTTTTCGTTTAACACGGGCACCACATACGAAAGAAAGTATCGACCATTTACCAGATGGACACGCCATGGTGGTCTAGTTTTCAAGGCACTCGACTACAGACCCCGCAGGTCACGACACCACATCCTGGCCGCGGCAGCTGCATTTTCGATGGAGGCGAAAATGTTTGAGATCCATGTACCTAGAACTAGGTGCACGTGAATGAGCCCCAGGTAGTCGTAATTTTCGGGGCCCTTCACTACAGGGTCTTTCATAATCATAGGGTGGTTTTGGGACGTTAAACCCTATCAATTATAATTATAAATCAGATGTTAGTGCTATCAACATATAAAGCAGGCATTTATATAATGATGCTGCAAAAGGCACCCAACTCAACAAATGAAACATTCATAGCTTCCCGTCTATTTCTCCATTCGGTAGATTTCCTCAGGGCTGCTAGCGTTATCGTTGTTGACCTATGTAAAGTGAATTTCTTATAGTTCTGATTAAAAAAAACAATCTCACACGAATTATTAGGTTTTTGATAAAACTCTACAATTCGACATTTCGACCGACGCAATCTCATGCCAGAAGTACGGACTGTAATGCAAGTACACCGAACAACTGGCCCCGCTTTCAATTGAATATTACAGTGGTTGCAAGTCAGGTTGCATTCATGTCACTGTATGACTTCCAAAGAAGTTTGCCTCGGGGAAGGGGGGAGGGGGGCGTACAGTTTAAAACGTACTGCTGGAATTCACCCACTAATTCGTGTACGCGGTACGTACTGTGTTTGCACTGCGAAAACGCGAATTACGGGGATGTGTCAATTCTTTACCAACAAAACACAGCGTTGGCTCCACTCGCTTTTGCTGCAGACGTTTTACATGTTTGCTCTCGGCTGTTTTGCCAGAAGGCTTGCAGCAGGAAACTTCGTTTTAAAGCAATGCGGGGCACCTATAAGTTATAATGTTTTCTTTGGTCAACGCGCTGCAACTTTCTCGTCGGGATAACTCGATGTAATTACTGCTTAGTGTTTTTACACCAACGTGACGTTACCCCTTGATGACGTTACGGAATGACATTGTCGCTTGTAGATAAAGAATTCATTCGTGTCGAATGGCATTCGCATGTGCTCTTCAAGTAAGAGCGAGCAATTTCTAATAGTAGTCCCCGGTTATGTTAGCCCCGGTTTATAGCCTGGCTTGCTACTGCAGGTGTCACTGTGACATAGCTGGGAACAAACAAGGTGGCACAGAAGCAGAAATGGTGCACACTAGCGGCGCAGTCAGATCGATTCCCATTTCACAGTTTGACAAGAACGGCTTGTGGTTTATAGGTCTGCGAAAACCTTTATGACACGATTATGCGATGACCATGACTATCGCCAAAAGCGTCTCCACAGACTTGACTCTGTTCGTGCTTTTCGGTTTTTGTTATGGCTAAGGAGAGACCATGGAACACTTCTGCACGGATTGTGGCTGCGTGTCGCATATACGTGAAGATACTTTCGAAAAATTTGACAGCACCAATACTCTTACTGGAGTGTGTCACACGTCACAGACTTTGCACTAAATCATGCGCGTGTGCCCTCAATATGCGAACGAAGGACAGTCGCTTGAGGGCGTCGTGGATCGTCTGGACTCCAGACCATTTTCGAAGGAGAAGCCTTTGGATGCTTGAGATCATCTAGACCAGGCCCAATGGTGTTTAAAGTGCCTTTTAGGGTCCGTAAAGGAGACAAGTTGAAATGCTTGTTTTATAGCTTGTGCTATTGTATAAAACCTTTCGCGAGTGTCCTGCCCCCATGCGGACAGCGTGTACAGTGAGTCGTGTTTCACTACGGTCAACTATCAACATACCTTTCTATTTTCCTCCCCTTTAGGTATACTGCGCCGTGTTCCCCACCGGGCTCCACAAATTAGGTGCCTTCTTCCTCTTCCAGCAGGCTAGAAACCTGCTTTTCGTATCGATCTCTCTTCCTTCCTTGTCACCAAACATCTTCTACACCAGTTGTCGGATGATGATTACGGTATATACAATGATCCCATATGTACACGAATAATATGCTTAGTCACCACCACATGTAAGCACAAAATACCCATTCACGCTGTTTAGGGGAAGTATGTTCGTACTCGCGGTTAAAGTTCTCCATGCGACCAGCGACGTCTAAAGGCTTGCACCAGCCTATCCAGTGACGTTGCGCGCTGCCCTACACAACGTACCTTTACTGGACCGGTCTCGCCAACGGCGAACGGCGTGCGGTCGTAGATAAAGTTGACGTTGTGCAGCAGCAGGTCGCGGGTTCGAGTGTACACCAACTCGGAGACGATCTTGCGCTCCCGCTGGCCCCTCAGCACCAATTCGCCGTCGACGATGGTCGTGTATGAGCGAGCCTCGTCGCGTACCGAGAAGGCCGGGTCTCCGATCTCGGAGGCGTACTTGGACTTGAATATCTGGTTTCCGCGGGTCTCGGGAGTGAGGAACTTCCAGCCGAACTTCAACTCGAACTGCGCAAGAGAAGTCGGTGCAACAACATCAGTATTGCTAATATCAAGAAATAAATGAAAGATCTCCCAGTGTAGTGTCCCAGTGTATTGTTATTAAAGGAACATTGTGCTGTAAAGGACGATTGACGCGATCGTAGTTCACATATTATTTTTGAACGCGTGAGTTCAGATGATATTATGGCGATGTTTAAACGAATAGAGCATTCGCTAAATGTTAAAAGTCAAATTAGACGAACAGTGCCGAACTTTCTTATTTTAACCGCATTGCATTTGAACGTAGTATGCAAACAAATCTGAATTGGTGGTATTTAAATTCACAACATTTTTTTTATAAATGAATAAGTTGCGCAGATATTGCGGCACTACTTACATAGTCCAGAGCATTTGCTCGTACCTTGTGAAAATTAGCTCAAACAAAACGGAGTCACGAAACGAGGACACAGTATGAGCCCTGTAGCTACAACTGAAGTTTACTGAAACATCATCGTTGCAAACTCGCCCGCTTCTTTGTTTTACTCATATCGGGTCAGGCGTTTAGACTTTTCAAGTTCTATACAACTGTAGTTTAAAGAATAACGTATAATAATTGTATTTAGTATCTACGTATCAACCTGTACGGTGTCGGCGCATAAACGAATTCGTTCTACATTAAGTGATATATTTTTACTTTCTGTCATAGCTGGCGCTTCTGCTTAATTTTTTTTCAGTGCCATGTGCAACAAAGGTAACATTGTGTTCCACTTGACTTATTTTCCACCGGAACCCACCTAAATTCCAGATGCTGCATGGTACAAATGACATTGCATAAGTATGCATCTATACACTTTTGTGACATTTAATATAATAAAGCCATGTTTACCCATTTACCACCACCAGCAAACGATCTTGTAGAAGCCCCGTCGTGGTGGTCTAGTGGTTAAGGTACTCGGCTGCTGACCCGCAGGTCGCGGGATCGAATCCTGGCTGCGGCAGCTGCATTTCTGATGGAGGCGGAAATGTTGTAGGCCCGTGTGCTTAGATTTGGGTGCACGTTAGAGAACCCCAGGTGGTCGAAATTTCCGGAATCCTCCACTATGGCGTCTCTCATAATCATATGGTGGTTTTGGGACGTTAAACCCCACATATCTATCTATCTTGTTGAAGTGAATACCGCAAATCCTCGAACATTCGTCACAATCCGCCTCGCTTTGATATCTGCAGAACAAATGTGTTCACGTGTTGTGTGCCCATGCACGACGCTAACGGGTGCTTACCTCGTTTGTGATGTCTCGGTTAGCTGGCGTTAGGATAACGTTGAGCTTCCTCGGGTGCCACATGGGGTTCTCGGTGAGGTAGTAGTACTTCTGGCGGAGGTCGCCGAAGTACCAGAAGTCCATCCACGATCCCCAGAAGTCGTACGTCTCCAGGAAGTGGCCGTCCACTTTCAGGCCGACGCCGAGCATGTCGTGGAAGTACTCCTTCTCGAACTGTGCGTTAAAAGCAAAAATAAAAAAATAATATGTCTGTTTTATATCGCTTTAGTAGAAACCACTTGTTTCAGAACTGCGGACAGCGGTGCGAAGCAATTTTTGACTATATAACCTTTGCTTATTATTCGAAAGGAAGCTTCACTTAAGCCATGAACGACACTGTGGACGTGGACTTGACTTTTCTTCGGCCACTGTTTCAAGAATATTGGCAAATCAGCAATGGAACTTTCCAGAAATTGTTTCTAAGTTGAGACGTTCGTTCACATATTTCCCTATACGAAAACGACAAAGAAGTGGACAGGACGATGTAGAAATTATTCGCTGCTGTAATCAAAGTCACCTCCTCCCTCCCCCGTCGTGCGGTCCTGAATTCGACTCAAACACGAACTCTATCTAAGCACTTCTGGGCCCGTGGCCAACTGGAGTTTTACAGTCGCTCGCTTTAAAAGCATTAACACGTTTTTTTACAAGACAGCGGAATTGCTGTCATGTACTTATTATGTGCAGTATCATGTAACACCCATCATGTGTGTGTTGTGAAGTGAATGACGTGTCGACTATTATGTACACACGAGGGAATGCATCTTCATTAGGACCAGACGTGTGCTCTGCTGTTCTGTGCAGGGTGGACCGAATATTAACGAGGGACATTATCAGAGACTTCATTCGTTGGCTTTCGAACATTTCCTTATCATTATGTTGTGATATGTGCGTATAAGTGTGTCTTTGCATATCTTTGCCCAAGTGTTCTATTTTCCGTGCACTGCTTTGTATGTATTACTTCAAGATACGTGTTCAAGTTTCACTCAACGGCGAAGAAGTAGCCGGCGCCATGATGGTGCGCCAACATCTCCTTATATATCATATCAGTAAGCACTGACCTTGTGCAGATCTTCGGGCAGGAAGATGTCGACGCGGGTGTCCTCGTGAGTGACAGGCAGGGAATTCTCGAAGCTCTCGACGAAGCTGAAAGGCTTGAACTCGTAGTGGAACACTTCGTGCGGCGTCTGCGGCCGCCCGTGGATCTTGAACTTGTGGTCGACGAAGCTCAGACCGGCGTCGAAGTTGAACGGCACCGAGATGGCGCTTCGGCTGTCGTAGCCCACTCCGACGCTGACCTTCTCGAAGGGAAGCAAGACGCTCGCCGTTTCAATCATGTGCGTATCGTACCTGTCGGAAAAACAAAAAAATGAACACGGTTCAGCCGCAAAGGGGAAGGGAATGTGAGAGCAACGAATTGAAATGCTATACGATGTAAAACAAGCAGCGAACTCCTTCAGCATGCGAAGTGCCCTGTGGCTCAGTAAAATTCTGTCGTAAAAAAAATCGGAGTCGTTGCAGCGAGTGAAGCCACCTCGATGATGTCTGTCCTTTCACCGCAAACCGAGCTGCGAGAGCACAACACGTACAGAGGCGTGAGTTGTCTGTTGGTCTCTGTCAAGATAGGGTGCGCGTGAGTGCGTCTTGAATTTTGAGGGAAATCGCGGGCAGGTCTGTTCATGTCACAATTGGTGTCGAATGGAACAAGCAAGGTGTCACAAGCTCAATTGCGTAAGCCAATTTTTTTAGTGCTGAGGCAGGGCATGCGCTAGTTTTTACAATAAATGACCGATTCAAAACGTTTAAATTGAAATATTTTTTAGTGACAATAAATAACGCTACCAGGCCTCACCACTGTCAATGATGATGGACAAATCGTCTGTCTAGGAATAACTGCTTGAGCCAACGCTGGATTTGGCTTTAAATCCAGCGTGGTGTTTCTTCTTGTAAATATATTTATACATTACCTCCCATTGAGCGCTTTTATTTTCCGATTATGTTTCAAGGGTGATCCGATTTCCCTGTTCCCGTCGCGCGAATCGCTTCCGTGAAATGCCCCTCGGTCCTTCTACTCAGATTCACTGGCTTGGGCAGGAGAGGAGAGGTGTCTTATTCTTCGCCCCCCCCCCCTCCTTTAGGAAAACAATTCCGGGCTATGCTTCTGGTCAGAATAATTGTCACATAGTTGCCGCACTCTTTTTGTAACGAATCATTGGAATACATTGTGAAACTATTGTGTTGAGAGAGGGTACATCGGCAACTGGAGGACTTGTGAACTTACAGGAAGTGTCCCTGCATCTTGACGCCAATCTCCTCGATGTAGTTGCCGTCTGGGGCGACCTTGACGTCGAACTTGAAGTCCTTGTTCTTGTAGTTCACGAAGAACGGCTGCTTCTGCTCCAGGTAGAAAGGCAGACCGAGCTCAGTTGGCAGGAACAGCGACATGTCTTCGCCGATCAGGAATTTCTGGACCTTGAAGTCCTTCATCTCACCAGCAAAGTTCTTGATCCATGAGAACGGGTCAGCTCCTGGGCGTTTTTTATGGAAAATTTTACGTGAAGGGAAGAGACGAGACATCGCTGCTGATATTGCGGGCTTCTACGGTTTTTATCAGTGAAGTGTACATTGCGTAAGTCGGCATGTAATGTGCCCTTGGCTACTACACGGTGGCTATTTGGGCTTCATGGTGTCTCCTTGGTTTGTGCAACATAATTGACAAGGAAAACATATCTTAGTAACCAGAATGCTCTAAGGTACAAGATAGGACAGATCATGCTTCTTCCTGCACTTCACGCTGGAATCAGCATCCGCATTGTTGCAAAGCTACCCCACCCTACTTCCAGCCGGAAGAACCTTAATCGCATTTTTTTCTTTTGTTGTTTTTGGATTTTGCGAGACCTTGTGCTCATATGACGAAGCAGAAGTCTTCTCTTTAGGCTCATCGTCAAGTGTACCATATCCTGTACTCTTTAAATATCTGTTCCTCGCACTAAAAATGTTCCTGCGCGCTAAAAATGGTTTTTCTTGTCGGGGACCCTTGGCTAATATAGAGGCTGTGGTCTTAGCCGTCTGTATTTCGCTCACATTAAGTATAGGTTTGCGCAGTCAAGAAAATGGTCCTACTGGCCACACTATGTTAACACTACGTCTCCTATGCTAGCGAGCGTGTACACGTGGTCAATGAGCGGCAATGCTGGAAATTTATCCTATGAGAATCTCGCACCACTTAGTTAGCGTATTATGCTTGTCCATCTAGAGCCCAATAGCATGACTTGTAGTGAGCACAATGACACGCCGGGCTCACCTTCAGTGAACAGAGGAGCCAGCGTGGTCTCGTTGAAGGTGAACGACATGATCTCGTTGTTGAAGGCGGCCACCCGGAATGTCACGAATGGCTCTCCGTAGTCCCGTGTCTTGATGTGGAGCTGTTCGCCAGAAGAAGGAGAACGACGACAAGATAACGTACGTTACGCGTACTACGCATCCATCAGAAGCGTTCGGTAGCTCACAAAATGCTTGACATTTGAATGAAATACGTAACTCATTGTGATGCCGTTGTGACGGCAAAATTACACACTAGCGCAGATGCACCTGGGTGATGACATGTCGCTTCACTTTCGTAGAAGTGTGGCAGTTTGAGTTAGTTGGTATGACGTTACGATAGTTATAGCGCGAGAATAGAACGACGACAAAGATGGCACGCGAACAGGTGTCGTGCATTAGCAAGCCCTCCGTGTCTCTGTCCGAGAAGGAAGTAAGGTTCCTCGAAGGTTTCGGTGCGCGCAAGTAGCTATATTACATTTATATTTCTGTTCCGTTTCCGTACAGACTCTTCTTTGCCTTTTTCTGTGAATTTGTTTTTTTTTCTTACTCATGAATTGCTCTTGGTGCCACATTGTTTTTGTCACGTAGTTTACTGTCTCCTCTATATGTTTTCGTAGTCTGCGCAATGAACACAGTTGGAAGTTAGCGCTCGTGTCCTTCTTGTCTCTTTGTCGTCGTTCTGTTGTCGCGCTATAACTATTGTCATGCACTTTCGTGTTTTTTTCTACAATATTGCACGGCGTGATTGTAAAAGAGAGTAATGGGTAAGAGAACTCGAAACATTACTTTCATGCATTCGTTCACTCTAGCTTTTAAAGATACGAAGGTTATGGCAATACAATGACACAAGTAGGGGACAAGAATCCCTCTGTCAGGACTACTGACTACTCTACGTTCTTTGACGCCATGCTGTGAGAGCTTTTTTAAAAGTGGCCCCTTGTGGTAGCCTTCGATTCTTGGACACGTTGGCTGCAATTAGAGTGAAGCGAAATGCAATGGGACCTCTCAACGAAAGAATTGTGGCACAAGCTACGAAGGAGGAGAAAAATGACAGATGACAAGATAGACTTCGTTCTCAGTTTTTACCTCGATTCCATCGTTAAACTATGCACCAACTGGCCCAACATCACACTCTGCTAATGCTTTAGCGCCCGTCAGGTCAGATTTAGGTGCACATTCAAGGACCATTGGTGGGTCACAATTAATCAGCAGTCTGTCAATATGGTGCGCGTTATAAACATACGAAAGCTTTTGCGCAACGAGATTCAGAACTTCCTAATCTAAGCTGTCCGCGGGTCGTTCTTTCGCTCACGTTTTGGTCGATCTCCTTGACCTCCTTGTTGAGCGAGATATCTCGCGTGGGCCTCTTGCGTCTGAAGAAGTTCCACAGGCTGCGCTCCGGGTGCACGTCGCCGGTGACGCGCGGTCCGTACACCTTGTCGAGCAGCTGGTCGAGACCCCAGGCGTCGAAGGTCACCTCGAGGGAGTCGTAGTTGAAGTTGTTCTTGTAGTCGTTCATCTTGAACATCACCGTGCGCGGCAGGTAGCTGTCGTTGGCCATGACGTACGAGAGCGCCGTGAATCCGCCGTAGTCGTACTCGGCTGCTCGACGAAACGAAAACGCCACGAGTGCGACATCAGTCCACGCATACTGGACATTAAAAGCCGGTGGCAAGTTATTTTTTCGTCCACTTTGTTTCTTCTCATCTACATGACAATTACTCATGATAACACCCCATATACCTCCCTTGGCGTTATTGTCTGTTAGTTCTCGTGCATGTTTTGTCTAACAAAAAAAAAAAACGAGCCCTTAAACATACACTTTTCTTCAGTGGTATATATAAGCAGCAACATGTCATGAGCAAGACCTTTTTTTTTTATTCAGTTATGAAGATTCCGTAGTGCTTACGAACATGTTCGTGCTATTGAGAATGTTTTTTTTTTACTCTTCGTTCAATACGTGCAGACTTAGGAGGTGTGCGCTTGATCAAGAAATATAGCCGAGATGCCGAATAGCTGCAGTCGTCTACCTTTATACGTATAGCTAACTTAGTTCTCGATAACTGTTAGGTATAGTTTTTTTTTTCTTTTATTGAAAAAGTGCTATAATACCTCGATACAAGTAAATTTGACTTTTTAAATGCTATCATTCTAAATGATGCATTTGTATGACGCCTGACGGCTGAACGTCACTGCATTATGCTTCATTAAATTGATAAATTAACAGTGAAAGGCACACTTTATAGTGGCGATAGAAGTTTTTTTTTTTTTATGAAGAAATCGATTTGGCTAACCTACACTTTCCCATCAGTGACAAAGTAAGGAAATGGTAAGAAGCACACTGCTTGTCATGAGGCTTCCCTTCTTTTTCATCAAGAATATATTATACATATTTAAAGCCTATGTAATTGCACACGAGTAAAATTCGTCCGGGCGTTTTACCGATCCATGTCAGCCTCTTCTACTGCGCGCACTAAACAACAAATCGAAGTGAAATAAATTGGAAACGTGAGTTATTTTTATTTCGTTTGATAAATCGTCTCTGTTGACGTTCGAAGCACTGAATATTTTGTTGACTCATTACTGGTATTGCATCAAACAACAAAACATTACTGGCTCGTTAATAAGCAAATCGCGCTACGCCCAATGTGCGATTGTGCATAACTTACGCTCGTATCCGCTGTTCATCATAATTTTCGAGTAGGTCCATTCGTTGATGTCTTTCAGTACATCGGCCTCCTCGATGATGGGTATCACATATCGGAGGTGCTGGGACCTGGTTTGTGGGTATTAAAGTTGCGTTTATTAATGGTACTACGGCTTGTAAAGACAACCTAGAGAACGCCTGTAGCAGCGTTCATACTCTTAAAAACTCTCCTCTCAATTAAGAAATTGTCTCATCCCGTGAATTCAGAGTACGATTAACTGCCCAGTTTCCTATTGAAAATTGGTCTTCCTTCTCGCTATATATAACTTTAAGCTGTTGTTCTTAAAGCACTCACTAAAGTTAACACGTGATGCATTAGAAATGAAACGGGGACAACATCAAGAACCTTACTAGTAAATACGCTGAAAATCTCAATCTATGTGAATGTGCACCCTTATACGGCTTCTTACACTGTGTATGTGAAGCCGCTGCGACGTTTTGAACTTCCTGTAATGAAGCGTGGAAAGTTGGGCAAGTTGGTAGGACATAAGGGAATGCAGGAACAGCGCAACCTAGAAGTAGTTACTTCGTAACTACGGTAAGTAACAGCACTCTTTTCTGTCCTCGTTTTTTTTCGCTTCCGTAGTTACGGAGTAACTACTTCTAGGTTGCGCTGTTCCTGCATTCAGTTATTTTTTATAATGGTTTTAAAAAGTTCTTGAACAAGAGGTGTCGCAAGAGGCACACGTTTAGACAATTATTTTGTCTTCTTCAAGGCAACAAGTGCTTCTAGGCACTTGTTGTCTTAAAGAAGACTTTTTCGAAAAAGAACAGTCCACGTTTTAAACGTTGGCTCCAACGACACTCCGTTCAAAGATTTTTCATCACTTCATGCTTCTTTCACTGAACTTCTGCCTTATTTCAGTCTGGGTCCTGCCTGTCAAATCGGTCGCGGAGGCACATACAAGATCTTATAGCGCGAAAAACAACAATTAAAAGTTTGTGTTAACTTACAGATCGAAGTGGCATGGGTATTTCGACTCGGCGAAGCTCTTGAAGAGTGTGTAGACGAACGTGATGACCTGAGTGTTGGGCTCGTTTGTGACCAAGTCGGCGGCGATGGACTTCAGGAGGTAGAGGTCAGGATGGGTCCTCATGACGACGGAGAAGGCGGCAATCCGGATCTCGTGTGTCTCGGTCCAGTTTCGGTAGATGGGCAACAAGATCTCACGAACCTGCGTCGTCATCACAGTCCACGAGACTGAGCGATTGCACGCATTCGATACCAACGGCCGCTTTTCAGCAAATTTCTGTGTGTCGTGGTTGTAATCGTTATAGTCGTATCTTGCTCAAAGCTCCATTCTTGGGTGCGTCACGTGGTTTGGCACTGCTTAAGTAAGATCAAATCTATAAACCTTCGAAGACAGTTTAGGTACAGAGCTCGATAACAGCTCACTATAGGGGAATTGGTTGGGTTTATGGGAGCTGCTACTTATGGCCTTTCAAAACAGATTGAAATGATGAGTAGTACTGCATTTGCCTGTGCTTCGCGCTCTTTCAGCTCCGTAAACATCCGTGGGGCCTGCAGTCGTTCTGTCGGAGGACAAAGCTCGGCAAATTTTCAGAAGTTTCGCTTCTCCAGCTTGACCCTCTTAAACTCACTAATTCGAATCAGCTCTCGTGCTTCACTACGAGCCATTCTTTTACCCGAAACAAATGCCGAAACACTGCAACGAACAGATTCGCAGGAGCGTTCTAAGCATGCTATCTCGAAGACTAGGCAATTCCGTGTACTAAGCATCGTTCCCGAGATGGCTGAGGATCAGCGCCACTGTTTTCCCGTGTAAATACTGTAGTGAACGTTATAAACTCAAGCACGAAGGAAAACCTATTTTTTTTATCAGATGATCGTCAAACTGTAGCAAACGGCTGGCTTATAGGATTTCTGACAAGTGTATTAGAGACCATAGGTCGGCTAACTCACACTTAAGTTGACTTACTCAGATCGACTCAGACTCGCATCGAGCTGTGAGTCTGAGTGATATCGAGTTGAGTAATATTTTGGTGAGTTTGTCTCGTTGAGTAAAACTTGGATGAGTGTGAGTACGAGTGAGCCATAAGGGCGTGGTACATTTTATGAGGGAGTGAATCTGGCCAAGCTCTAAATTGTTTTGCTGACTTGTGTAATACGAACTGGTCGTCTCTAGCTTCTTACTTTCTTTATGTTTCCCTTACGTGCTGTCACGCAGGCGCGAGCAGTTCTGCCGGTTGCTCACCTTCTCCGGGTACAAGAAGGCGGACTTGGTCATGGACCAGATGGCGACCATTCTCAGGTAGGCCGGGTACTTGTTGGTCTTGTCGCGGACGTAGTGAGCCAGGTACGGCAGGGACTCCTTGACGGCAAAGTTTCCGGCCACCTTGATGTACATCATTTTCTCTGCTACGCTCATCTCGCGCTCGTACACGGGCACCAGGTACTGCGAACCAAACGGGGCGGTTCCGTTGCGCGTCAAGAGCAGAGGCCGTCAACTCGGCCATCTTGAAGACATCGTCAATCATCGGGAACGCTACAGTCATTCAATCAAGAATTTCGCGGGAACTGCGTGTAAGACGTCGCATACGCAGCACGTAAGTTGCAAACCGTATAGGACGTGGGCGTGATAGTGGTTTGTGCTAATGCGAGGTGGTTTGCCGCGCGTGAGGCGCGGCTCTACGTTCTCCACTAGTTGTCGCCATGGCAACGCCGCTTCTCAGGCGCGCAATGCATTTCGACTCGCAAGCAGCACATAATACTGCAGTAACAAAGAAGGAAGAAAACAAGAGAGAGAGAAGGTGGAGATGTTAACCAGACACATGCCAGGTTGGCTACCCTACACTGCGGAAAGGGGAAAGGTAAGTGGAAAGACATGAAAGAGAGGAGTAATAAAGGAAAGTAGTGAATGATCAGTAAGTGGGCTGACGCGTATGTGGGGGTGGCACCATACAATATTCAAAGGCGTTCACACAGGTCCGTATAGTTCCCAAAAATCACAAAAGTATTTTAACAGCCTCGCGAGCCATTGCGAGAGATGTGAACGGTGCTCCAGCAACATCTGCACGGAGAGTGGCTGATAGCTCAATCAGAGCGACGCGTCAGAAAGTTTCCCGCCGTGATTTTGAAGACTTTGGTGGGCGTGGAAGCGTCAGACTGTGCGCGGTAAAGTGAACGACTCCGTAATCCAGCTTCAGGGCTCTTCCGCTAGGCGGCGCGACATCCTGGACCAGTGTCTCTTTAAAACGCTACTTCAGAACATATATCCTGCTCACATTCTTAAAAAGAAGCTTGAATGCCTCACTATTTATACCTTAGGTACTTTTCATTCGCGCCAGGATTTGATAACGCGTTCTTTCCTCCTTTCGACGTCTGTCCCTCCAACAGGGAGTGGGGGCGTTATACTCACGTTGTAGTATTTGGTGGCGACTTCGGGCGTACAGATCACGTGGTCCTTGGCGTCGTTCCATGTGTTGTGGTAGTTGAGGATGCAGCTGTCGTGCACTATGTTGCTGAGCGACTGCAGGCAGGCTGAGTGCAGACTGAAGGTCTCTCTTACGTAGCTTGCCTCGCACAGACGCTGCGATGATTGGAGGGGGAAAAAAACGGTCATGTTACAGGCCAATCAAGCAGAAAACATACAGCAAGAGAGAGAGAGCTCCTTATAAAAGAGCAGACACTTCTGCCGGCTTATATAGGACGCGCACATGCTACACTGTATAGGGGAAGGGTATTGGTGACAAAAATGTCCTAGGGAAGAGCAGGGGCAGAAAAAAAGGAAAAACATGAGTAAATATTATTTATTTATTTATTTATCTATTTATTTATTCATTTGTTTATTGGTACCCACGGGGCTTACAAGAAGCATTGTACGGCGGAGGGGCTGAAGTAAATGAAAAGAATATGATGAATACACGTACAAAGAAAAGTTGTGAAAAAATGTTACATCGAAAGTAAAAATGTGGTACCATCAAATAGAGTACGAAAGTTAACGAACAAGATAAGCTTATGAAAGACCTAACAAAAAACAGAACGCAAAAATACACTTTTACGTCGCAACTAAAGCGAATTATGATCGTGATATCTTCATGTCTCCACGTTAAGGGGAGGATGTAGGTTACGTTAGAGCTTATCTGTTCGGTCAATTGGTCAGAGAGATTCGGTCAGAGAGAGACACTTCATCATCGACTCTACCTCATAGTGTCTCGAGAAATACTCTTTATTATGGGTCTTAAATTAGGTGGGGGAACTAACTAGCCTACGTCTAGTTTACTACCTCACACATAGAGAGGGGAACAACAGAATAAAAAAAAAAGACAGACGAAGAGAGACACATTCGAACGCACACTTCACACCGTATCACAGGTGTTTGCTGAATTCTGTTGCCTCCGAGAACTGCATAAGGGTTCGTTTGATTCTAGGAAGCTCAATATAACGTACGACAAAAGAACTGAATAGTGAACAGCTGCTGTTCGGGCATTTTGTCAGGATTTTCCCAGGACAGCCATAAACAGGTTACGAGCTCAGGTTGCCGTTGTCTTCTGATTTTAAATTGAAGCATTCTGAAGGAAAAGTGCGATAGAATGAAAACGTCTGTTACGCACTAAAATTTTGGTCGCTGTATGCCAACAGTGCAGTCGCTCATCGAAATAGCTTCTTTTAATTTTAAAAGCGTTAACGTGTGCACGATATTATTGGAAATGCTGAGACCTACGTTAAAGCTTTGTTGATATATATGGCAGATGAGTGGCAAAATTATCCCCTTGTGTTTCCCTGCCCGTGTGAACCCACCTACTATCCTCGGCTTAGAGGGAAGTATTGTTCTCTGACATAAAGAGTTCTCGACAGGATTACTCGTCAATTTGAAGGCCTTCTGAGTTGTTACGTATGGCCCTTATACTTCATACTTGGGTCTCTATCGCTCACTGTACTTTAGGTGCCGCACCGGGTTTTCTCTTTCACATTTCCGTGCTTTTTCTTGCTCACCCTGTAGAACTCGCTTTTTTCGAGCGCTCTCTACCGTGTCACGGAATACAGCGAGATACCCCAGAGGTTATTCCTGTCATCAGAGTTTCTTCGCGTCGAATTTCGCATGCAGCTTTACAAGGCAACGTAGCACGTGAGTGCACTTACGTAGAATTCGTCGAAGAGGATCTCCGTGGGTTCCCGGATGTGCTTAGGAAGGTTGATGAGCATCTCGGAGGCAGCGTCTTCGTCGAGCTTCTTGCTCTGGATGAGATGCTTGGCGTACATGAAAGACGGGTTGGTGCCGGCGGCCGTCAGAACGCTGAGGAAATACTCCCTAAGCGGCAGATTAAGGCGGTGATGTGAGACAAGCGGGTGAAAACTTTTAAACTAGCTTTCTACAACAACGATTGAAGTTTGTGTACATACAATGGCGTGATGGTGATTACGACCCCCCTAATCTCAACACATCATTCTGTTTCCGAAATGCGGAAGTGGGCAGAAATTCCAACCCTCCGAGGCTGATGACGATACTGTTTCTAGATATGCCGCGACGTAGTAGGGTAAGACTTCACACCACAATGAGAGATCAGCAACATGGAACTCATTCATCGTACAAATTTTTGATCATGATTCCTCGAGTATTAGCAATAAGCGAGAAGCATTACGGTCTTTAGCGCTGAACTACTGTGGGAGATACTTTGTCAATGGCTAAACTATACATGTTCATATACCCTAAGGGCCCATTTGAGCATTACACTGTGGGGGGGGGGGGGAGGGGGGAGTTACAATACAGTAAGATTATGTTCAGAAAAGAACTATTTACACAGAATACGAAAAAACTAAAAATAAAAAGGTAAACGCAGAAAGCAAAAGTTCGCATCAAAGAAGACATAGTAATGCATTGTAGCACTCAGTAAGGCATTAATTGAGGTGTGCGATAACTGATGCAATATTGGTGTAGACTAAACAAAAGAAAGCCACAAAATGTTACAGTTCTACATTCCACATCTCTTTTAATTTGCCAACGAACGTGTTGTGATAACGCACAGTTACAATATCGCTTGGTAGTTTATTCCAGTGATAAATCGGAGGAAACAATCGCGAGTCACGAAGAAAGTTAGTAAGGGCAAACAAGGATTGTATAATGAAAGAAGACGTGGTATATAAAGGAAGGAAAATAGGAGGAAAACAACGCCAGGGAGGTTAACCAGCCCATAGGCAGCCGGTTTGCTACCCTGCGCATGAGAGGGGGATGGGGAGATGAAAGGATAGAGAGGATGAATGATAGAGAGGGAAGAGAGATAGACACATCACATTAGGCAGCACGCGCTAACCAAGTGAACGTACTTGTGGTACTTGGATCCAGGCTCAACGTAGCGGTGGTAGAAGTCGTCTATCTGGTTGTAGTCGAGCAGGACGAACGAATAGATGACTTCCAGGAACTTGATGGGCAGCTTGTCCTTCTTGATGGCCTCCTTGAGGTCTTCATCGCTGAAGTCCCATTCCACGAAGTTCCTGAATAGTCGGCCAACCTGTCGAGAAAGCACGAGTGCCTCCGTATACGTCATTTGCACCTACCGCACAGTTTACGTTACAGAACAGAAGTCTCCGTGAGTCTTGTTGTTTTAGAAAAAATCATACTCTTGGTCAATGTCGTGGTGCTGGTGTTCCTCCCGGAGAGAAAACTTGCCCCCGAAAAGCTCTTGCATCCCCAATCTATACGCAGTCCTTAATTTAAGCAACACTCGGTGGTTTCCACAACCCCATAGCTCATCTCCTGTTCCTGCAAAGATAAATGTCACCTTGCTTTCTAGTACCCTGTCTTGTATGAAATAAAGAATGGCTTGAACTGGAAATGGTCTACTGCTGATTTTACTCAACTGACGCTACCAGTAACGGCATCTAGTACGAATATATTCAAGGAAACATACGATGACCTCGTGATACAGTTTCCATCTATTTCTCACAAAATGAGTTGAACTCTGTTCAATTTTCACCACTCTGCAGCATAGTCTACCTTTTCTGTGATTAACAGCAAAGACAAACGTATTCAGCTGCTCTGCTTGCAAAAGGCAAGACGTCCTTACCAAATTTTGATACCATTTACTCGCTCAGCTGTTCAACTCGCAGCCTGCGGCACTTTTATGTAGGCTTAACGGCTACTTGAAGCACAGTCGCCCTCCATATGATTGGCAACATGCTGCCCCTTGGAAAAAGTAATGAGAACACTGTGCGACGGCGCCTACATAGAAAACAATCATCGACGTAAACATTGTTTCGACTAGTGATATTCCCAAGACAATTGTCACGCCTGCCGCTGTTACAGTATGGGTTGCGAGCTGTCCAGTCAAGGCCACCATGTGTATCTCATGAGTGCCACCGCAGCTGTAATGTGTGTAATGGCGAGGAAATGCAGCTCATGCACTGAGACATCAGTAACAGAATGTGTACATCGCGTTACTTGGTTTACAGCCCATATGGAAGACGACGAGCTACCGGGTCGTCTGAACCCCACTGAGACGGCTACGTGGCCGTGCGCGAGAACTGACGCACCGTCGTAGATGGACCTCCACGGTTTCGGTGACTATTGGGCATAGTGGCCCTCTCCTTACGTACCATGAAATCACGGCACATTCTGCAGCGGCACTTCCGTCCCACCGTCCCAAATTAAATACATCATAGTCCTGTGTGCTCGGGATGCTTCAAACGGGTTCATACCTATCGATAGGCTTCCTGGGCCCACTCCACAGAGACATATCTTCACTGATTGTGAGGAAGGATTCTGTACTTTAGCCCACATGGCCTGGTAGTAACCTGTTCCATTACTTCAACAACAGTAACAACAGTGAGGACTCGGAGTAGCCGATCACGAGCTTTAAAGAGGAAGTCCAGAAAAAAACGCTGTCCACAGGGCCCGTGAGGGAGTGGACACGGTCTGTGTTTTAAATGTTTTAAAGTACGATGTACTCGACGAAGCGATTTTGAGTACTTCGTGCTCAACCATAGAAGAGCAGAGAGCCTTCTTTGTATGGGGAGTTTCGAAAAGACCGAGTGGCAACATCACACACATCGCATTTGGATTCGACAAGAATCAGTCGAAAGAGCGCTAGGGTGTTCTTCTGGGGTTGTTCTGGCTAGCTCCACTGGACGTTAACAAAGTGACTTGCCTCTCTGTTTTGTTCTGGACGTAATAGAGCTTTTTTTAATGTGAGCCGCACTTTCGGCAGCGGGGCAGTGGAAGCCAGATCATTGGGCTCTGAATTATTTACATTAATAGGAAAAGATTGCAAAGAGATTACACCGAAACGACTGCGTACGTACCTCGTCAACGTTGCCCTTGAGTCCGTACGTAGCTACCAGCTGGTGGGCACTCTTGAGATCAACCACGCGCTTGGTGTCGTGGTCTTCGGAGAATAGAAACGAGAGCTTCGGGTAGGTCACCATGTCCTCGTTGAAGGTCAGGTCACTGACGCTGTCACGGATCTCCTTCAAGTGAAGTGTACGGCTGCAGGGAGTGAACGTAAACAGCAAACATGATTGGGCATTCATGGCAAGTCTAACGCAATGCTGCAATCACAGTGATTCGTGGTTTTTAAGAATTAAAGGAACGCTAAAGGCGAATAGTAAGCCGATGTAAATTGTCGAAGTAGTGCTCCAGAAACATCGTAATGCTTGTTTCGTTCCAATGAATAGGCTTAGTTTGAAAGGAAGTCCTTTTTTGAGTGGCCTGCATAGCGTTAGCGCACCGTTATCATTAGCGTATCGTTAGCCCGTATTACCGTTAGGCGAGAACTGTGTGCGGGATTTACTGCCCGCATATCGTTTTCGGCTGTTTTCTGAATGTCTAACAGGTGGTGAAAGTCGTGTTCTTCATTTACAATATTTTATCGATTGACAAAGCGCGTATGGTGTATAATGTTGACATTTGGATATTATCAAGCATCGACCTTTTACTATTCCATGTATTTTCGTTTGCCTTTAGTGTCCTCTTAGGTGATGGCTCTTTTATCTGGAACATTAAGCTTCATCGACGAAGTGCTGTGGTCAACAAACCTCAGTGGTGGACACAAAATCTAGTCGCGTTAAACTGCCGACAATTAAATAAACTAAGATTTTCAAGTATTGGTTTATCTCTATAACACCGCATGTAAAATTATAACTACCAATGTCTTTAGATTGAGCTATTTTGAGTGAGAATTGTTTTGCTTTGCTGACTCTAATATCGATTACTGGTTTCTTCGCTTTCCGATCCTACCCCCAGCACGATAAGAAAACTAGATAATTTCTAAGATTTGCAAGCATTTGGAACAGTTTAAGCTTCTGGAGTAGTAACAAAAAAAAAGGCACAATACTCTTAACGAAACTTTCTTTACAGCAACGGGTTTTGATTCAAACTGCATGACGTACTTGAGAATGATCCTAATGATGTTTCCCTCCGGCGTGTAAGGGCTGTACATAATCTCGCCATCACCAACGACGTTCTCGATGATGAAGTTGTGCCTGGTTCCTCGGATGTCGTAGTGGTACGCGGCGCTGGATGTCAGCGGGTGCTGCGAATATTAGCAACCGAGAACGGCCGTTGCACCGCTGGGACGATTCAAACGTAACAGTTAGAGTCAAAAACATCACACAACGTACCTTACAAACGCACGATTCCCTGCTTTAACGGGCAGACGTTACAGTAATCGAATGTGAGCAGCTTTCACGTTCAATTGCTTCATGCTAACTTTCGCTTAGTCTTGCGATCAGTTTACTGTTTTTAGTTTGTTTCTTGTTCTTGCACACGTAATTTTGGAGGGGTCTATTATACACGGTGCTCTGCATGAAGGTTGGAGGCAAAGTAGCCAATATGGCGCTCAGTAGCTGCCTAAGGCAACCTCGTGCCAGCATAACAAAAGCGTTGTCCTGATCCGCGATAACTCTTTGCAGATATCTAGAGGATGGTAGGCAGGTAGGTAAGCAACTTTATGGATACATGAAATAATAACTTGAGAGGGGGGGGAGTAGGGAACAGATGCCAGATGAGGATGGGGCATCAAGCCTCTCTAGGTGGCCGGAAACTTCTGTGCTTCGGCGACTTTTCTATAGAACGTCAAATAACTTTTTTGTAGAAAATTAACTGGACTATTCCTGGCATCCGCAAGTAGAGCGAAATACCCCTGAACTTATGGCCTGGCACTTTTCAACTACTTCGTCATCCAGTTCATTTCATGCACTATAACGCTCGTAATATAGCTGGAACGTGAAGAATCCTTCGTTATTCAGGGATTTCGTTGTGGAGGAGTTTATTGTTGAGGAGTTTGACGATTTCGTTCTATAAATCTAAAAAAAAATCTCTTGAGACACGCAATCTTTGCCACTCACAGTCTCGTCGCCGGTGCAGTCTACGCATCGTGAACCGTGGCTGACTTTGAAGAAGACCTGGGGAGTGTTGCGGCACTTTTTGTAGTTCTTGATCTTTGTCACGTTCAACACGTTCGCGAATGGGTTCTCGGGGTTCACCGTCTTCTGGATGTCGTACACAGTTTCACACTCGCCGTAAAGGCCGTCCTGCGTTGAACAAACACAAAAACTCGCATCTAAACACATCTTACCGATTTGTATGATAGTTTCTTTTACCAGACGCAGTTAGAGTGATGAAAGTAATTACGTCTTGCTCTAATGCACTTAGTAGCTTGAAAAATAACATTGTGGCTTGGTAATTTAGTAGTAGAACGAATTACTTTAAGCGAGTGATATCAAGAAGATAACTCATTACTTTCTCAATTAAGTTAGTCAAAGCCGCCCCCGCGCCGCAGCATTTTTGAAAAGCTTTGCCGCAATTTCAAACTGCACTGCGGTGAAGCATATTGTAAATCCGAAGGGGCGCTCAGGGACCTTGGTTATGTGGCTTGGAGCTCGGCAGCTTGAATTTCTCGTTTTATTCTTTCTTTCCAGTTATTTCGCGTTCGATTACCTTTCGGTATGAATGCCCAGCAGCCAAACTTCGCTGTTATAAGTGATACTGCGACACGCGGGGATTGTAGAAAGCGGGTTCTTTTTTGCACCATAGAAAACATACGAAAGTTGACGGTGCCAACCAATGTATTGCCGAAGCCGGTATTTTTATAAGTGGGTTCTACTTACTTTGGCTAAAAAACTGTATCACGGTTTTTCGATATTTTTCATAGCCCCTTGCATGCGCCACCTTATATCGTTCCCGCAACACGCATATCTCACCGCACGAGCCATTTGCTTCAAGTTGCTCGGCCACGTTCCCGGACTTGTACCTTTTCTGCCTCGTTTTTCACGCGTACCGCACCAGACTGGAACGGCCTTCCCAGTGAAATTGCAACCATTCCCTGCCCATCATCGTTCATGGAAAATATCAATAAGTACTTTCTATGTTAAATCTTTGGCTTCTATGTTTTGTCTTTACAATTACCCACCCCTTATGTAATACCCCCTCGCGGGTCTTTAAGGAAATAAAATGGAATGAAACATTCCAGGTAACGATCATAATAGCGGCCAACTGACCTCGTAGACCCGATACATGCCAGGGAGCTCAGAGCGGACGCCACCAACGCAGGTGCCTCGTTCGCAGTCGGCGTAGAAGGCTTCTTCCTTAGGCAGGATGGGGTTGATGGCTTCCAGGTCGACGTTGAAGAGACTCGCTATGGCCTTCTTCATGTTCACCGACCAGATTGGTTCTCCCCGGGTCACCTGGATGTTCATTACCTGGCGCGCGGAGACACGAACATGCCTTGTCACAAACCGAGCAGGGAAATCTGTTGTCGCGTGTCGAAAAACCTAGTGTTCGAAGGTTCGTGCTCGCTCGGAGCCTTCTTTCACAACCTAACTACTTTTCAATACCTGATTCGTTCCCTACCAACCGCCTATTCTTGTAGAAAATAAGCGTAAATTTAAGGCTTCGTTTACGTTTTCAGACTGCACATTAATCAGAGCTAACAGACAAGGAAGGAAGGAAAACAGGAGGAAAAGAACGACAGGGAGGTTACCAGCCTATAGGCAGCTGGTTTACTACCCTGCGCATGGGAGGGGGCATGGGGGAGATGAAAGATACAGAGCAGAGAGGGAAGAGAACTAACAGAAAATGATGCCAAGTGAAGCGTAAGGGGCGTTATTAAAAGTAATGTAAATTTAAAAATAAGTGAACGAAAATATGAATTGCCACCGGCAAAATCCGAACCTGCGACTTTTAAATAACGTGTCCGATGCTCAGTTAGCGGTAGAGCATCGGACACGTTATTCGAACGTTGCAGGTTGGAATATTGCCGGTAGCAAGTCATCATTTTGTCCACTTTTTCTTTTTTTTTACATTTACATTAGTTCTAATAATGCCCCCCTATATTTCACTTAACATCGTTGTATGTTAGTTCTCACCTATTCTTGTTACTCTATTTTAACATGTTGTGGTGATTTGTGGGGATCAATGTTAGATTATTTTATGGGGTTATTCACACTAATTCATGTTATTGACATCATGTAAGGAGATGTCTGCGCACAAATAAGGTGGAGGCTACTCCTTGGCCCTTAGAGGTGTCTAACATGGAGCACATATGGTCCAAAGTTTTAGGAATACCAAACGCACAGCATATACAATATACAACTGATCATAACGGACAAGACATAATGGAGCAGTAAAAAAAAAACATATTCCTCAATCACGTATATAGGTATACATGGTCACATGACTTTGTTTAACTTTTTTTTTCATTTTCTGTTTGTGTACTTATTTTGTTTGTTTCTGTGTTTAACTGTGTAATACTGAGTTCGTTTTTTTTGTTTCTTTTTTTTTCTCGTGACGTATAATCAGTTACCACTCCTGATGTGACCCTCCCACCATGTACTTACCCAGTACGCTTCTAATGAGGACATTTGGTGGTATTTGAATAATAATAATAATAATAATAATAATAATAATAGAACAATTTAAAGTGTTCGAGTATGTACTCCCTTAACTAAAGCTCGTGTTCTAAGCGCTTCGTATATCTTCGTTAATCACTACGTTTAACGTTTGACTTATCACGGCAGAGCGACCGTAGTCGCGTTGTCACGCGAGTGTCTACAGACATTTTTTTTGTTCTCACTTACCTTCCCGTGGTCGTATCGCACCGTGAAGGGCTTCTCGATGAAGCGGCTCAGCTCGTCAACCATTCTGTACTGGAACGGATGCTCGCTGAAATACTCGACATCCTTGTGAACCCTGTCGAACTTCATATCGATCACCTGGGCGCCAAAGAGAGCTTATTAGTGCCTGGAACAACGCAGGGCACATGCGTAGGCTTGCGCAGGGTTTTTCATTGTTGGGCGGGGGGGGGGGGGGGGGTTGAAGTTTTACCAGAGCCTCGTTCACCCTGCCACCACGTTCTGTCACACAGATTGTTGGCGGGCCATTCGGTACAGACCGAGCGAGAAACAGCGCGCCTATACGGTACAGAAAGATTTACGAAGCTCACAGACACAGCGCTGTGTTGGTGTGCCTCGCGTAACTTTTCGTACCGCCCAGGTGCGCTGTTTGTCGCTCACATTCGATCTTGCCCGAACGAAACGAACATTCGCAAAGGATGTGAATATGAAAACGGATTGGTCATGTGATTTTCACGAAGCACGTAAACAGCTTGTCTTCGCCACCTCGGTGCTGCGATTGCTCCGGTTATCATTCGCGTTCGCAGAAAGCAGCCACAGCTGTATCGACCAGGACAATCTGCTTGTTACAAAATTCACCTTCTATCTTAATGACAGATAAATGTACATCAGACACAAATATTTGGTGACTTTCTAATATACACAATGCTTGCGTGAAAAAATTGAAACTTCACAACGTCGTAACTCACATCTCATGATAAGCCTCTCATATCTGCAGGCAGTGATATAGTGTAGACCCGCAGTTGTCCCTGTTTATCTACCCCTTGCTTATTTTACATTGTTGGGTTACATTAGATGAACCCACCTAGATTGCAAGCGCTAGATAACACCCTCTCACTGCCACAACGTCGCTTGGAGACACTCAGCTCCGCATATTCGTCGAGACGTCAAAACGGGACAAGCTTCAATACACCTCACATAGTCACTCATCTTAACGGTGATGTCCGTGAAAAAACGATAGCACGGAAGGCCATGTGCGCTGTGCTTACTTTTCTTCTTTCTGTGCTATCGTTTTGTTCGCGCACCACCGTGTTAAGATGATTTACCAAATCGCCGAGCAGTCCGTGCACCTGACGTAGGAAGAGTAGTGTGTCCGTCTCCTATACCGCTTACATAAAAGCTGAACGACTTTGCCATTTTCTGTTAGTCCTTGTTTTTTTTTTGTTTTTTTTTTTCGCTAAACCACCAGAAGTTTCTGCGCTAATCGCGAACATGGCTATGCCCCTTTTATCAATGTCTTCGACCTTGGACGTGACCAGATGGTTCTTTTTTCCTTTTTGTGTGTGTGTGTGTGTGGGGTGGGGTGGGGACTCGTGCGCGTAAATATGCACACGTAAAGTTTAAAATGTTTCGGGAATGGTTTTATGTTCCCCCCCCCCCCCCCATTTCCCTCTTCTATGCCATGTCGATTTCTTCAAATGACATTGGCGCTGAGCCCAAACAGGGATTGTCGTAAGCAGACAGTCCCATATTTTTTTTTCAAGGATCAGCTTCCTGCAATACATGTCCTTTGTAACGCCGAACGTAGCATCAATAATAATTCATCTTCCTACTCTTCATCATCACATATGGTTGCATGGAGCGATCAATAAAAAAAACCGGTTGCACCGAAGATGGGCACACTGTGGTTCGGGGCGTTTTTCGCTCACTGTGGTATTGTGTTGGAATGATTGAGCTTGATGGGATGAGGACAGCATGATTTGATGACGAAGAAAGCGCGTAGTTGCCGTTATCTACGGAGTAAACAGAATGCTCACCTTGAAAATGAGATAGTCCCTCTTAGGCTGGACCAAGATCTTGCTCTTCAGGACGATGCCGGAGGCTTGCTGACTCATTCCGGGCATGAACGTGTGCAAGTGTCCGTAGTAGTCGTATATGTACTCGCGTCCGATTTCATAACCTGTAAGAGCCCGGTGCGTAAGTGTCAGTCTCCCTTCAGCTCCAGAAAAAGAAACTGAAAGAAGTAACCTAAGCGATTCTATAGTCAGCACTTGTGCAAAAACAATACAGTTCGACCTCTTTTTGATGAAAACTTGTATAACGAGTTATCGGTTATAGCGAACTAAATTAGTGGTGGGTAATACTTCAATAAAGTTATATTTATTAATTTATAACGAAAGTTTAAGCGCGAGCATCGCCGCCATGTCGGTTTAAATGAAGAAGAGTTTACTTTTCGTGCTTCTGGTGGCTTTAAATTTATCCCTTCCAGTGGTCCTTTCTCTTGGAGCAACTAAAAAGGGCTTTAGCCACAGGAACGTTTTTCAAGCCGTATGCGATTTTCTAAAAAAACCAAACGAACAGAATGCTAATATTAGGTGTTAGTTAACTTTATTTATAACTGTATTAGCTTAGTTGTTGGGTTTTTTTTTCTTTATGCTATCTTCAATTGATGTTCTACCTATCTGTTCTTTTTTATAGCATCCCTATCTGAACGTATTCGGCTGGTAAAACAATTCTATTTCTATGATAATGTGCCATCCGTTTCATGGCTGATCCCCCATAGTGGGTTGCGCCAGCGATCTAAGGGACAACCAACCGACCAACTAACTACTCGAATGGGAGCCTAAAATTGAAGTTATGCATTGAAAGACAATTGACAACTACGTTTCAGGTTATGGCACTAAAAGTTCAGTTCAAAGTGTGTTCACATTCTTCTTCAAATAAATGTAAGTGCAGGACTGTTTTGCAAAACGAACCTTGCTCTGCCGTTATGTCAGCTTCTCATGGTTCGGTCGGCTTAAGTTTAAACTGCCACAAAGGTACAGGTAAGAACTGCCTTGTTTGCGGTGAATTCTGAACTTATGATAATTAGTTTTATGTATCTAGCATACTCGCATGAGTAGAATTGCTGATTTTAAAGAGCCGAATTTTTGTTAAGTCGAATATCGAATATAGTTGACACTTTCATACCGACGTTGACGCTATTCATTTTTTTTTCCTTTCCGAGAAATGCAGGTATGTCTGAACTCATTTTAACCTGGGCATGTACTTGCTGCTTGTCACACAACTGATTCTAGCTGGTTCGTTGCGTTTTGACATTATAGAGTGATTCATTTACGTTCTGTAGAGAAAGGAGTGATTGTGTCGACTACTTAAATAACAAAAACACATTGTGGGCTTCTTGTCGTTCTGTTTGGAAGTGCTCTCATATGCTGACATGTGTATGCCGTGCGTCAGTTTAAGCTGCCTGACAAGGCAATTTAAACTCCACTTAGTGTTTAAGTTACCAGCTTTATTCAATTATAGAGCTGGTATAAATTTAAGGGGTCGTTTTCTTTGTTAGGCACAATAGTAAAGTGAACTAGCCGACATTGACGCCAAGGAAAGTAAATGGCATGTTATTAGAAGTAGTTTTAATATAAATCTGAAACGATATGCACATGTACACTCTATAATGTAGACGGCTGGATGACCACAACCGCACCTCAGTGGTGAAGCATTGGACGTTGCGAGTTTGGTCTTAGCCGGTGTCATGTTATCTTTTCGTCAACTTTTTTTTGCTTCAGATTTACATTAAGATTACTTCTAATAGCATCCCCTATACTTTCCTTGCCATTTATGTATGTTAGTTATCAGTAATATTCAGCTTTAAAGAGAAACGAAGAAACACATGTACTTTGAATAAGTGCTATTTCTGCATAATATAAGCTCCACTGGCTTCAATCTTTTATTTTTGTTTTTGTTTTAATTTTATACTGAGAGATATCGATTCATTCTATTTTTCTTCATTTAGTGTTTTTTTATTGATTAACATCACAAGAAACAGAATTGCCTTTCGAATTCCTGAAATATTAAGCATCATGTAGGCGCGATTACAGATTATGAAATCTTACCATTTCCGAAGGTGAAGGTGACTGTTGGTGAGAAAAAGAAAAAAAAAACGTCGTGCGTTAGTGACATGCTGGATATGCTTTACAAAACGTTAGTTGGCGTGAATGCTAACCAGAGAGCCTCTTTTTATCACGGACGTGCCTTAGAAAATGCAAGTCACTAAAAGCATGAAACAATGCTGCTTTTGTACCTTTCTTTCGGGATAATTGAGTCCAGAGTAATCCTTCTGTCTGATTAAACTGAAACGGCTGCATTGGGTAGCTTTAGATATGCGACAGCAGCTCATAAACGGCTTCCAAAATGATCAGCTTAAGGCTGTGATATTCCGGACTTGACACAACGCCAACATGGATGATATGGCGTCGGCTCAATTCGAGGACATAACGTTTGCGTCACTGAAAAGTTAGTCTCAAACTAAAGTACTGATAGCATTTATACCCCCTACCCTACACTCTTCCCACATCGCGATGTTTCGTTTACGGTGTTGTCTATGCGGTGCGCTGCTTTAGGAAGTTCAGACAGATCCTGGGAAAATCCGAGATAACGCTTGAACAAAAAAATCATCCAGAACTGGATCGTAACATAGACTAGACGCTTCTACGTGCACTCTGTAACATGGCCCGCTAGAAACTACATGCGGTATGATCAGCGTGCATCCTGAAAACTGCTAGAGGGGTACAGTACTTGTAGTGAAGATAATGGTACGTTTTCTCATACGTTGTACGTCCATGTGGGCTCAATGCATTCTGAGGGTAACTTGTGGTCCTAGTGAACTCGCCCTCACCTGAGTTGTCGACCCTCGGCAAAACGCTAAACGGTATCTATTGTTGTGAGAATGTGTCTGAGATCATTCCTACTTTCCTCAGAAGGAGAAGTTTACGAATAGTTCTCAGTCTACTCAAAACCTAACTTTTGCTCCTGCACCGTGATCAGGGGCAGATCCGGCCATTCATTTAAGGGGGGGTGGGGTGAGTTTACTTGAAGTAAAGCCGAAGATGGCGTGTCCACAGTGGTCCCACTCTTTATCCTAATTGATAATAGGAGGCTAACGTCAAGCACTGAAAAAAATTAAGGGGGGGAGGGGTGCTGACACAGGCTTTCAAAGGGACTATCATCGCCCCTACCACCACCCCTGGACCCGCCACTGTCCGTGATGCTCTGCACATCCACAGACGTTTCCTCCATCCACGTCACAACCACCGCTCAATTCAGCAAAAGAGACCACGCGAATATAAATCTCAAAGTACTCACCGGCCACAGCCGCAAGGGCTGCAAGCCCCAGTAGTAGCCGCATGACTCTTCGTCTGTCACTTCAGGACGGAGCTCGGACCCCGCGCTGTAACGGCCGCTGCTTGTGCAAGGCAGGTGGACGCTTTTTATATCAACCGCCCCGACGATCCACGTGACCCAGACTGACCAATGGGAGTCTAGCGGCTGTTCGGACATGGCAGTACAAGTGTGATAACTTGTATCCAAGAGGGCCTCTCACAAGTCTTGTATCGCTTCCTTCTGTGGCGCGTGCTCGCGTGATAAGCAGTCGCCCTCCGGCTGTCTTCGAGGGTCTCAGACCCCTTCACGTCGGGTGACGGAGCTCTTTTCTCCTCCGTGTCCGATAGAAATGTAACCCCTCGAAATCACGAAAAAAAAGAAATAGGCCGAGTGTCGTGTCCTGAGAGGAACCTTTCTCTTCTTTTTCGTAGTCAGTGTTTTTCCTATTCAAAGAGGGTGACGGCGGAACGAGCCTTCTCGAGCGAAATCTCAGCCAAAGGGGTCGTCGACTTTGAATTTAGTTTCGTTGTGATAAGTGTTGCTCTTTGAAAACGGAGCCAGAGCTTACATGTGATCCCTCCGTGCTCCCGAAATCAGGCTCTTGTGCAGACAATCACGACCGTCTTTCTTTATTTTGCTCTATTGGTTAAAAAGGAAAAAAATACTCACAGGGTGTCTTATGCATTCAATTAAGACGGCTGAAGGCCAAGACCAGCGTGTTCTTTTTCTCTGCTGCTTCCTCCGAGTTATTTTTGCTCCTAACATGCTCTTCTTACTCCCTCTAGCGCGCGTCTCGCAGTGTGCCACTAAAGTTATTTCAGTCAGTCAATCCATCAATCCAATAATAAATTTTCAATCAATCAATCAATTAAGGCATGGAGGCACTGCAAGCTTTCTGTGCCTCAGCTGGCTATACACTGCCTCCGCGATCAGAGCGTTTTGACCAAGTGAGGATGTGAGACTAGGACGTTCCTGTTCGTAACTTCATGATGGCGTCAGGAACTTTTACGGTCTGTGACGTCATAGGATGACTTCGTCACGTAATGATTATTTCTTGCATCACTCGTATGTGGACCCCGCCGACGATAAATTTTCGCGCTTGATGAGTCATCGCAGTCTTTCGCATCAGCACTGTGCTTAATATTTTGCTTTAACACGCTCCTTGATATACTTTTTTTAAATAAATGTATGTAAGGAGAGGTTGGTGCCAATGCGTGGCGCCGGCTACTCCTCTTCTCTTGCACAAAAGTCGACATCGCACATTTTGTAGCAAACACAAGGCCATACATATGTACATAGCACAACACTTACACAATGAGTTCACGTTTTTTCCACACTGAGTGTCCCCACCACACAGAAATGGGATACTTCCCCGGGACATCGTCATCATCGCCTCATCATCTGCCTTTCAACTCAACTCATCATTGCTAAACTTCACAGTGCTGCGATCAAATAGTCAATTAATGAATGTACAGGAAGCAACGCTGCCTCGCGATCGCCTCCATGTGCAACGCTATGAGGCCCCGAAGCCGAAGAATCTCATCGCATGGACACCGCCTGCGCTACTGGCGAAACAAGCGACAATCTCCGTGTACGGCATCACAATGAATACGTGAATAAGGTGCAGGCGGGCCCGTGCGACACAAGCGTCCAGGTCGACAGCAATTCGGCCTGTGCTTTGCCGAAAAGGCCACATCTAAAAGAGAAGAAACAGGGCCGAAGAGCCAGATGCTGAGGCTATATACGACAACCCATCAAAAAACACAAAGACGAGTTCATGCAAGTTTCAACAGGCAGTATTTTATGGCTCAAGTTAAGAGTCGGCACTGTACGACGTTAGACTGGAACCACAGCGCCAGTTCGACACACCGGCCAGTGTTCCACGAAATGCGCCATATATGCAGCTGTTTTGTTTTCTGTTGTTTTGTTTTAGGGGCGAAGCTTCTTATAACGGCACTTGTTCGTTTCTCGTAGTCGTAGTAGCAGTCGTAGTGTGTAACTAGTCTTACATTTTGACCTCCAAGGTGGTGCCGGTGAGAGATTTCTGCTGTGCGTTGTTGAACAATAAAAAAATTCGCAGCGTGCGCGTTAACTAAAAGCCGCATTATCCTGTCTCTCATTCCCCCTTGGCAGCCATTGGCATGTACATTGAGCACTATCTCACAAGAAAGTGTTCAGTGCTACATTATACTCGCTGGGCATAACCTCCTTGGTTTTAGAAAGGTTTAGCGAGCGTTGGGTCGCAGTGCCATGAATACAGTGAACTAGTATATACCATGAACTCGAGGTGGTTAAAGGTGAGAAGTAATCCCGAAGCGCAAGCCGTAAGAAAGGGTGCGTGTGCCACCTCTCGTGTAGTCCTTGGAATGTCCGCTGGATGACGGTGCATATGCGGAATATATGATGAAAAGATGCGAGGTGGCGGTACTTGGAGTGTTGAATAGATGGAGGAACGGACACACAAACAGATGCATGGACAGACGCACGGATGGGTGCACGCACGGATGGACGCATTGACAGATGCAGGGACGGACGCAGGAATGGACGTGCGCACGCACGAACAGACACAAGCACGGACGCATGGACGATCACACAGACGGACGCATGGACGGATGGAAGCAAGAACGAATGGACGGACGGATACTTCGCCCCACGCTCCATTATTCAACCCTTGGATATGCTGCCATTTTTGGTTGTTAGTTTTCAAGAACGTTGTTCAGTTGGGACGAGAGGCATGCGGTCTGCATCGTGAGGCGAGCAAAGCTTAGAGCACGTGGATTGTATCCCAAGCCCGAAGGGAGGGAGTATGGAAGCCTCGTGGTTGGTCTGAATTTCTGTAAATAGCTTCTTCTATCTCTTTGGACTTGGGGAGCCGAGCGTCGTTGCTCTGTGGTATTAAGGCTCGATGCCGAGGCGTTGTGACAACGTCCGGGGCGGTGGACGCCGATCGCTCGGTAAGCTGCTGTGTGCGGCGAGTGATAGGGCCATCTTACAGAGTGGGTGTCTCCTTGCGGCTGCCTCTTTTGCGCCTAGGCTGGGTACTGGGTGGATTCCAGTTGTCGCCAAGCGACTCATTAGGCCTAAGGCTCTGCGCGGCCGCCTGTCGCACGTGCACAACTTGGTGGATCGTGGCGTCAAGGTGTTGCACTCTGCTTCCCTCACTTTTTATCTTGCGATGCACGAGTTAGAAAAAGTGACCTTTGTTTTATTTTTGAGCTGGGCGTCTCGGCTGCCGCCGTTTGTATTATCTAGCAGTACTGACCATCGTACCACGTGGCCGAAAAGGCCGAAGCTCCCTTCCCTAGGCCCTGCTCCATTGTTTCTGTCGAGTGTTTTGGAATGTACGCAGCGAGAGGGATGTAATCCACGGCTGCCTGTCTTCTGCACATCGTCAGCGCCGCTGGCCAGGAATGCGGTCGTAAGGTCGGGCGTGGAGATGCCTGGGACCTGCGCAGCTGCCTGCATTCCGGCGCCCTCGAGGGTGCTGGTCGCAACCGGAAGACGTGTCGGCGCGAGTGACGGATCATTGCGCCGACGGCAACGTTTCTGTTGCGGGACCGGTACTGAGGTGAAGTCGTAGAGCCGGACAGTGCAGCAGTGTCGACCGGCGACGGTGTTGTGGGGCACGGACATTATGAAGGGACATGCGTGGTGATTTTTCGTGAGATATTGTGTAGCTGATTTTTTTTGTTTTTCGGAATAAGGTTTGAATTAAGGTTGGGGGGATGTTGGGGTGCTGACACCCCTTGTAAAGACGTTTGCGCTGCGTGACGCACGTGTCTCGCTTAAAAGCCGCATTTCGGGTTACAACCACCGGGCGGTATGTCGCGTTGTGTTCGCGTTGATCACCACTGTTGCAAATTGTGTAGAGGACGAGGAGCGGTATTATCATCATCGGGGATTATAGCAGTCTGTGAGCAATAAAGAAGAGGTCGACGGGTAGGCTTCGTCATGGCCACGGTGACTCGTCCTTTCCTCAACATTTTGGTGCCGAAACCCGGGATGAAAGACCTTCGGAGGTGAACCGGAGCGGCCTTCACGAATTCTCGACCGCCGTCGTAGCCTCGAAGACTTTTGTGAAGCCGCCGTTGGTTGAAGCTGATGTGCGAATCCAAACCGTTCCCGAGAACCAGATCAAGAAGCATGACACCTCGACATTGCTTGAGACTTCGTGCTGCGAAGCGTTTGTGATGGACACTACGTTGACTGCGACTTCACCTAGTGACGTGACCGGCCAGGGATTTCTCACGTTTCCGACATTGGACTGGATAATGGAGGCCCTGTTCGCAAGGCGGGATGAAGTGCGCAAGGCCGTCACAGAAGCCATCGCCAACATATAACGTCTAATACACGTGGAGCGTCCGTCGGTAAGTGAGTTACAATATATTCATCGAATTTTGATTGAGCATTACAAACTTCTCAAAGAAATCGACAAGGAAGTAGAAGAAGCAGTTCATATCGATCGCTTGGAAACTGAGACGGACGAATCAGAGCTTTATGAACACCAGATCATTCTAGCCAAGGTCAGAGTGGAGTATAAGATCGTGGACGTATTAAATGCTCGACAAGCTCGCTTGGAGGTCATGGGGCAAAGGATTTGGACAGAAGTACAAGCTGAGGTGCACTCTTCGCCTGTGGTGCCGCCATCTTGCCTCTGATTCTTCAGCAGCAATCTTCTTTTACGGAAGCTATAAGACTAAGACTCACGACGAATCGCTGAACGCTCTGGAAGCCGAAAAGTCACTGATTTCACCATTGTAACAAGCATCCGAGCACGTACAGAACAACCACGACTTCCAAAGAACTGGCCCTCGCCTTTAGAACTACCGTCAGTGTACACTATGAATGAAGCAAAAGGCACGACAGTTACAACAACTCAAGTACATATGGTGAAGGGACAAAGTTCTACTATTGAAAAGCGGAAAGCCTTTGAAGTTCTAAACGGGCATTCAAGGGATATCAAGAATGGGTGCAAGCTAAGGCCAGCAGGTTCATATGTTGCACAGTCTTCGCCACGCGTACAGATGTCTGACAGAAGCAAATCAAGACGCATTGAAGCGAAAAGAAGCAAGAG